TAAGCCATACCTGAGCTCCTGATGCACAGAGCTGTGAATTAATAAATGTGTGTTATTTGAAGCCAGTTTTGGTGGTAACTTATTACACAACAATAGAAAATGAACACAGAAGTACATTGCCTTCCCCATCACACTGATATAGTCTCCTTATTCTTAAAACTACTGGCAGGTTGACTTTACGACCATGTATAATAAGCCTTTTTTTATTCAGCTAGTTCTAGTGTCACCATCAATAGTGAGTCAACAGATGTGAAAGCTCTTTTTGAGAATTTCAGATGAATACAGCCACCATTTACATTTTAGTCATAGTTCTGTAGTATTTAGAGAGCTGGTAAAACTTACGAAAGCCACAGAGCGTAAATGTGTGCATGAACTTGCTCTTCCACAATCTGGTCAAGCCTCAAACATGAATCACTCACCAAGGCATAGAACACAGGAAGTGTGGCACAGCCACACTTCTTATTTCACTGTTCTTATTTTCTCTTGCATAAATCTTAACTTTATAACAGGTAGGAGACTGGCAAGTCTGACCTTTTTTTTTCATGTTCTCTTTCTGGGTCCCAGTATCTGAACTGGAAAGACATCTCCATTGAAGGAACAGAGAGTAATTTTTAAGTATATTTGTGTAAGAATGCAAACAGGATGGAGTCAATTAATGGGACTAGGAAATAATGAGCCACCAAAAACTATTACATAACATTATCTTAACCCTAAGTAAGTTAAAAGGGAGCTGACTCAATCCTTGATCTAGCACAGAAAATGGTGATCCATTATTCTCTACCATCCTCTGCAAAAGATGCTCTGTCTTTGTAGTCTTAAATTTTAATAAATACCCTCCTGGTCATCTTTTAAAAATCCAAGACTGTGGTACATGTCAGCTTCCAGTTAAGAGCTTTCACAATTTCTTCCTCTTAAAAAAAATACTCACTGGTAAGAACTATTAACAATAGTTGACTTTGAATGGTTGTAAATTAGAAAACCTGGTCACTTAACACTATTTTATATTTTTCTTTAATACAAAAGTAATCTTTCCCCCCTCCAAAAACCCTTATGAAACAAACAAAAAAGCATTAAAACATGTTTTAATTCACCAGGGCCCACTACTGAAACATTATAATGCTCTCTTTCCAATTTTCCCTTCATATTTTTGTTACTTTTACAATCAGAAGGAAAATATTTTAAGTCTTCATCTAAGTACAAACTGACAATTTTTATCTGTATGACATCCTACATGAGGCAAGAACACTGGGGACTTTGTCTTAGCTCTGGTGCTAAGCTATTCATTTGACCTTCACTAAGCAAGTTAACCTCTCTGGGATGCCTAACAAATGTGGAAGTAGATGATCTCAAGTATAAAGGGTCTTTCCTTCCTACTCAAACAATCTACGATTATGAGACAGGAGTTTTCAAAACTTTCCACAGGTCATCCAGACCAATGACTGTCGCAGCCTGATTTTTAGATCTTTCTTGAATTCCCACGTGAAAATAGAGCTCCTACACAGCACAACTAAAGCATGGAGGCAAGGTATCCTCTTGAACAACAAAATACAACCAGGCAAGGACAAACTCACACCACCCACGAGCCCGGAAGGGTATCTGAGTGGGCAGAAGCAGAGGAAAACAACAAGGTTGTGGACTTGGGAACTGGAAAACTCCACAATAACCAGTAAGTATACACAGGAAAGTGAAGAAGGCCAATTAGAAAATAGCAGCTAACACTGGAGAGGTTTTGCCTGAGCCAAGAGTAAATGAGGAAGTGATCCATAGTAAGATCTGAAAGATCTAAAGCAGCCAGTCCCTGAGAACTTATAAGACTGGTTCTAGGACTTGCTTCTAGGAAGAGAAACTGCTGATAGTGGGATCAGGATTGAACAGGAGGGGGGCGCCTGGGTGGCTCAGTCAGTTGAGCATCTGACGCTTGATTTTAGCTCAGGTCATGATCTCATGGTACTCAGGACTGAGCCCCACATTGGGCTTTGTGCTGACAATGCAGAGCCTGCTTAGGATTCCCTCTCTCCCTCTTTCTCTCTCCCTCCTCTCAAAATAAATAAATAACTTTAATAAAAGAAAGGGGAGGGGGGAGGACTGAACAGGATGGGGAAACAGAGACAAAAGAAGGAATAGATCCAAATAGAAGTAGGTGAGGGGAAAATAGCTACGAAGTATCAGAAAGCAGGCTGCCATATTTTTGACAAAATGAAAACAAAAGAAGACTAAGCTCTATGAGCTTATAAAACCACCTTAAACCCCGCCTTCTAAAAGTTTAAGGAAACTATTTTTCACATAAAAATGAAAAATGGTAAAGTACTGAAGTCAAATTCCATATAAAGTTATATAAGAAGGAAGAAAAAAAAGAGTAGAATAATATCCCTAATACCATGGAAGCATGCCACAAAAATGGAACATCTCTCTCCACCCCTCAAAAAAGCCCCAAACAATAACCTACTATTTCAAAATAAGCCAAAAGACTTGAGGGAAATACAATGACATAAGACAGGAAAGAACGTAATTCAGAATTTAAAAAACTCAAAGTAACAGAACACAGGCAACAATTAGAAATAAATAAAAATGCATTTCAGGAATAAAGACTAAACTAGAAGGCACACTAGAGAGAATAAACACAACATGCTATTCCCCAAAAGAAACTTTAGATGGATAACAGGAAAAACCAAGTAAAAATGGAGAGACAGGATGTCGATAGTGAGATACTGAAAACAGGCAAAAATGATCTAACATAAATATAATAAGCATCCTTGAAGACAAAAATCAAAGCAAGACAACAGAATATTCAACTCTATAATTTTTTAAAACTTCCCTGACATTAGCATATTAAGAGATAATCAAAAGAATACACAGCAAACCTGAGAATATCAAACCAGGATGATTAAGATTAAGAGTTACTCTAGTAGGGGTGCTTGAGGCTGGCTCAGTTGGTGGAGCGTGTGACTCTTGATCTCACAGTTGTTTCAGCCCCATGCTGTGTGTAGAAATTACTTAAAAATAAAATCTTAAAAAAAAAAAAGTTACTCTGGTAAAATTACTGGACTTAAAAAAATAAAGAAAAACCATGCCATGGATGTCTAGAGTAAGTGTCTTGTGATGCAAAGAAAGCTGTAATATCAGACTTTGAGGGCAACACTCTGTGTTGAATAAAAGAATGTGGAAACATAATCAAGTATGGAAAAGATAGGCCAACGGTTTTATACCCAGCAGAAATGCCTTTCGAGTACAAAGGGCATACACACACTGTCACTAATGAGCAAGAACTTGGTGAAGATTATTCCCCTGAGCACTCCCTGAGGAATCTACTAGAAAATAAGCTTCAGGCAATAAACAGAGGAACATGACACAAGGACCATAGTAAACATTAAATATATATTTACTTGTAGAAGACTAAACGAGGACTAGAAGGGAAGGACATGAGTTGCAATGGCCATATGGTCAGGCAGAATGGATAGAAAACAACTGCAAGTAACTGGAAGAGTGAAGACAGCATAATGCAACCAAAAAAAAAAAAATTAAATTCTTCTCAGGGGCTAAATTTGTTATGATGATAGTAATATTATTCTCAGACCATGTATACTATGGTATGGAGCAAATAAGTAATTATGCAATATTCTAATCCAATCATCCTCTGTAGCCTTAAGAGCCAGGATTCTTAGTACAAAAGGAAGGAGATACAGATAAAACATATAAGAAGCTACATAAAAAGTGCCTTGTAGTCTGAATTTAAATTGGAGCTATTAGTATGAACTCCTAAGGTATTTTATCTTAAAATTTACATATACATATACATGTGGAGATAAATAAATAAGAAATAAAAAATTCCTTGGCTGTGTCTAATAAATGAAGCCTGAAAACAATGAATAACCTAGGAGCAATAAGAACCCTTAGCACCCAGCCTGTGGTATTGAAATACCATTTTGTGAAAAAAGAAACAAGAGCTGCTTGGGGAGTGGTCACTACCAGATTTGGGACAAAAAAAGGTACTAGGTGAGTCTAGAATAACTACCAGGTTCATGTCAAAGGACTCAAAGCCAACATGAAGACATTCATACTGGCCAAAGATAATATAATTTGAGTTTCTGCAAGGAAAATAATTACAATAGAATAAAACCCAAGTATGTTTAAATCTACAATTTCATAATATTTTTAAAAACTACTGAGTAATTTCAAAAGATTACAGATAATTAGTGATCTTGAAGAATGTTAATAGAACAATGAAGTAGTCTGCTTTTCCTCTATGAATCTTGGTTTCAACAAATCAAGGACAATGAGACATGTCTCTATAAAAGCATTCCAATTAATGGGAAACGGCAGAACTAAAATATCATGATTTTTAAGTCCTAATAAATCAGTGAATCAGTGGACATAGGCACTGAGTATCAATGACAGCTAACATCACAGTAAATGAGACCAAATGACATTATGTGCCTCCCAGGGGAAAACAAAATACTCTCTTCAGTCTTGCCAAAGGGACATGAACTTGATTGAGCCTCTGGATCCACCTGCCATTCCACCTGACAGAGGAATGTGGTGAATTGTACTATGGGTGAGTTATAGCAACATCCAGACTGTAGGAAACTCTATAGGTCAAATGGCCAGGTTTCTAACAGATTAATTAAAAAACAAAGAATGGAAGAAAAACCTATAAATTAAGAGATTCAGAGAAAACCTATGGTTTTTAAATGAGCAACAATAAACTCTGCTGGCTAGGGACATACAAACTTCAGTGATATATTTTTTTAATGTTTCTTTGAGAGAGAGCACGTATGCACATATGCGCAAGTGGAGGAGGGGCAGAGAGAGAGGGAGAGAAAGAATCCCAAGCAGGCTTTCCCTTATCAGCATAGAGCCCAATGCTGGGTTCGAACCCACGAACCACGAGATCATGACCTGAGCCGAAATCAAGAGTCAGATGCTTAACTGACTGAGTCCCTCTGTGTTTTATCTTAAAATAAAAAATGCAAACGTTTCAAAAAACTTTCCAGATCCCTTACCTGTGCCTTGGCCAATTTCTTTTCCAGAAGGTCTCGTTCCCGCTCTGTTTGCTGCAGACGTTTATTAAGCTCCACTATATCTCCCTTGAGTGATGCCAGGGCTGCCAAGTGGAGCTGTGGTGACAGAAAGGAGCACAAGGTTAGATCCTTTGGCAGAAACTCGTTCCTTTCCTTCATTCCCTGTAATTAGTGTGATCGTATTAAAAAATGCATCATCTCCAATGGGTGCTATTAAATCAGCTGTCTTCCAGGCAAGCCAGGTTACATGGTCACCCTAAATGTAACAGGGAGAAGATTTACATGTGGGCTGCAGGACCTAGTTTTGGTGACCAAATCAGGACAGAGAGCAAAACTTCTCACTCTCAGGGCTTTCACTGAGTTACTCAGCAAGGATGAGCTTACGAGCTCGTGTGGGGTCGCCTGATTCTCAGCCTGAGCAGCAAGGAAAAAGGAGAACCAACTGAGCTTTTACCTTTGGAAAATATGAAAGGTGAATAGGGCAATTCAATCACCCCTATTGCTGCGTGTACAGACAGACCATGGGGCTGAGTATTAAAAAAAACTGGGAGACTTTTTTTTTTCAGATGGTCTCCTCCTAAAGTGGTCCTTGCCAGCTCATCTTTCTTCATTGTCCCCCACCCCAGATGCCACTTCTGGGCAAGCAGGCCCTCTTGCAGAAGCAGGACCAGAACACTGATAACTGACACTTGGAAAAGATCAAGAAAGAACCCTTACAGATCTCTGTCCCCAGCCAACAGCCTCAGGTTAACTGGAGCTACAAGTGATGTTCTTCAGCACAGCAGCACGCAGTACCACCTTGCACTTCCGGGATCTCAATCTACTAAACATCCAAGCTCTAAATGCTGAGTGGCAGCTGCACCAACAGCTACCGCGTGTGCCCTCTGTGGCCTTGCAGGCCGATGGCTTAAACAGGTCTGTTCAACACACTGATCCCAGAGCAATACCCTTCAACCTTCTTTGCCCCGTGAGTCACTACTTCTCATCAGTATTCACTGCCAGTTCCAGGGGGAGCCCAGACGGTTCCCCAGCTGAATTCCACACCACGTTTGGGTGAGTGGCTACCATCAAAACAAACCCTTCCTCCTTGCAAGTTTTTAGTAGCTTCTGCCAAGAGGGCGTTAAAATAAGGAGTAAGCACATAAATATGACCTTTAAAGACGGACACAGCACGACGGTACACAGCTCAACTTTGAAGATTTTAATTGCAGGTTTTTGAAAATGCTTTTCTGCAACTGCATGTGGGCTGGTAGGAGGAGGGGGGGGGTGAGGAGGAGTACGGGACAAGGATGTACAGGGCAAGGTCCGGACTATCAAAGCAGTTGTTTACGTTAGACTAGCACAGCAGCCAATGTGACTTCACTTAATTGCATCAGGACCACAAACCAACAGATCAATAGCCGATTTGAAATTAGGAATGCTTGAAATTTAAAAAAGAAAATGTCAGGCAATGTGGTGGTATTTGCCTTCTCGTGTAGGGCTAGGGCTGCCCAGAAAAAGGTCACTTTGGGTTTCAGATACAAGGTTTTGTATGATGAATTCTCAGCACAAATACCACAGTGTTCCCATTGTACAATCTTTTTGAGGCTGTTCTGCTTTCAAGAGGGTGGAGAGGGACTCAAATTCACTCCCTTAGACAGCTGGGTTTCCCCCTCTGCCTCTGAACTGTCAATCTGAGGATTTTCTTTTAGCATCAGACATTGTGGTCTGTTACACATTCTGCCAAGTCTTGGGAGAGGCTTTACCACCTCTCCTCTGGCGAGAAGGGTAAAATGCATGGAGAGCTGAAATGTTCTTTAAGAAATATAGGAGGAAACAGAGATCCCAACTGTATAAGCCTAGACATGCCTCTTCTCCCCCTCATCTCCCTCCTACTTCTGGGGAAAGGACAACCTGAAGTACTTAGGGGAGAATTAGGAGGGAAAAGTTTCACGCTAACTTCATAAACTGGGCCAGATGAGGAGACACACAGAGTAGTGGCAGAGAGGGTCCAGGATGGGTCACACCTACCAGAGAGGGTACCCATCTTGGAGCAGGTAACACCTCTGGGCCTATCAGCTCTCCAGATTGCTAGAAAGATCCACACGATGTGCATGTGGGCCAAATCTCTTTGCTTTCCTGGATGGAAGAAGCCTGTCCATGAAACGAGAGTAGACGAGTTGTTCTTCACCTTCTTTGGGTTACAAACTCCTTAGGAATCCATGTGGGTGACAGACTCTTCTCTTAGGGAAGAGTATAAGTTTGGGGTTGATGCATGTATTGCACCTAATTACGGTGATTACACCTTCTGGAATCTTTCCATAAACTCCAAATTAAGAAGTCACAGATACCACATACGTTTTGTAGACTCTCTCAAGGGTCATAATCCTAGTTGTTTGAGTGGGGAAAGGGCCCTGGGTACTTGACGTCTCCCATTCCACATTTGCTGGTGAGGACCTAAAACCCAGAGATTAACTTGCTCACTTAAAATCCCACGGATAACTCAGCAGTAGCACCAAGGCCACCAGTGACCTTTCCCCACTATATGTTATATGTGACAAGAATTTTCCATTTTTTTATGTGGATGAAAACTTTACCTGAAGTACTTCCCTCTGAAGGGGCACCTGGGTGGCTCAGTTGCTTAAGTGCTGGCTTTGGCTCAGGTCAAGATCCCACAGTTTGTGGGTTTGAGTCCTACATCAGGCTCTTGTCTGACAGCTCAGAGTCTGGAGACTGCTTCGGATTCTGGGTCTCTCTCTCTCTCTGTCCCTCCCCCATTGTGCTCTATTTCTATCTCTCAAAAATAAATAAACGTTATAAAAAATATTTCCCTCTGAATATAAAAGAAATAAACACGTAACAGGAAAATAAACATTCTAATGCTTTAGTGGTGGACTCTGGATGGTTTCAAACTTCTGGGGAGATATTTTTAATAAGTTTTAAGTTTTTTGTTTAATAAGTTTTTAATATTTTAAAATTTTTATATGTATTGTTTTTAAATTTTTTAAATAAATTTTTTACTGTTTTTATTTATTTCTGAGAGAGAGAGACAGCGTGAGCAGGGGAGGGTCAGAGAGAGAGGGAGACAGAGAATCTGAAATCTGCTGTCAGCACAGAGCCCGACGCGGGGCTCGAACCCACAAACCGAGATCATGACCTGAGCTGAAGTCGGACGCTTAACCGACTGAGCCACCCAGGTGCCCCTATTTTTTAACTTTTTACTGTTTATTTTGGAGAGAAGAGCACACGCGTGGACGCACAGGGGAAAGGGAGGAGCAAGAGGACCTGAAGCCAGCTCCATGCTGACAGCAGACAGCCTGATGCGGGGCTCAAACTCCCAAACCCTGAGATTGTGACCGGAGCCAAAGTCGGTCACTCAACCAACTGACCCACCCAGGCGCCCCAAGTGTTTTTTTAAAGAGAGGTTTCTGTATTAAAGAGACAAAGGTTATGGCTATATATTCTGTACATGATGGTTGTAGCATAAAAACTGTGAAGGGTTCTTTCTCTTCCTGGCTGCATCTTCTTTCCCCGTCAACCAGTTCTTCTGATAGAAGATAAAACTTAGAAACAACAAAAAAGTATAATACACACGTGTTCCCTAACGTTGCTGACAGTTACTCAACAGAAACTAACTACAGAGCGGGGAGGCAGAATGTGCAAAGCAGGCAAGTCACGAGATGTGTTGCTCAGAATCAGGCTGATGGCACCCCCTTACTGCCTGATGGCTGAGCGCAAGGTACGCTAAGTCGTCGCCACAAGAAAACCCCTCCCCCACCAAGAACTCAGTAATTGAAAGCTAGTTTGACCTCCCTTCTTTTTGGGTTTTGCACCCCTTCATTCTGGCAGGCCCTCTGATACACCTGTAAGTTCAAAGGCTAGAGAGTTTGAGAGCAAAACTACTAGTATTATTACACAACCTACGTCCTGCCAAGGCAAGTATTAAAAAATAAGCAGCAGAGAGGTCTTTTGGGGTGAATGTTTTTAAGGCTCGAAGCCCAACATGGGGCTTCAACTCACTATCCTGAGATCAAAAGTCAGATGCTTAACCAAGTGAGCCACCCAGGCACACCTTTTCAGCTAATTTTTAAAAGGAGTAACAGTGGGTTTTACTTCTATAAAGATACATTTAATGAAGTAACCAAAATTGTTAAATATCTTTAATAGGAAAATATACCATTTTTTTGAGATCTTTTTACTGATTTTCTGATTTTGGAAACGTCCCCTACCTTGACTCAGAGATTCAGACATATGACCCATAAAGTACCATTAAAAGAAGATGTTCCACTAACCAAAGGGAAATATATATATATATATATATATATATATATAATACATATATAACATTATATAAATATAATGTTCAGAGTCTGTGCTAGTGTCCTTCCCAACTCATTCTCCTCCTCATTCTCAGGAACAAGACCCCAGTTTTTGGGTGGTCATGGTGTTGTTTGGCTGAAACATCCCAGGTGCCAGCCTCCCTTGCACGGAGTGAGGAGTAGCCCTATGACATAGTTCTAGCCAATGAGATGTAAGCAGAAATATTATGTGGAACTCTAGGAAAATCTTTCTGAGAGAAGTCATACCTTTTTTTTCTTCCTCCATCCTTGCTGCTTGGGGTCCATTAATGTGGTAGATGGAGCCCCAGCATCCATCCTTAAAGATGAGGTCTACACTCCAGGGAGCCAAAAGTTGCTCCTACCACCTTTGGACTGCTGACTCCAGACTTCTGTTGTATTGGCCCTATTATGCTGAAGTATTCTGGCAAATGGGGTCAATCTAATCATAATTCATAAAGAATTATATAAGCCTGGATTCAAATGTCATTTATGCCACTTGTAGGTGGACTACCTTTAGATAGTTTATTTAATCGTTTTGTTATAAGGTTGCCATAGAGACAAATGAGACCGCATCTGTAAAATAACTTGCAGAGGAGTGCCCGGGTGGCCCAGTCAGTTGAACATCTGGTTCTTGATTTTGGCTCAGGTCACGATCTCACAGTTCATGAGATTGAGCCCTGTGTTGAGCTCTGTGCTGACAGCAAGGAGCCTGCTTGGGATTCTCTCTCTCTAACCCCCTCTCTTTCAGCCCTTCCTCTGCATGCGCTCGCTCGTGCT